AACATCCTGAGCGCAGGTAAGAGAACCAGCTGGTTCCCAGTCAGGTTCCCAGTCTCACCAGAGCCTCTGCTGCCCCCCGCAGGTCAGGACGGCTCCCTGCAGTCCTTCTCCACCGTCCATGAGCGTTTCAACAAGAACATGGGTCACGGTCAGTCCAACACCATGAGCCTCTCCTGGTTGCCATGGTTATAGTCCGCTGGTTATACAGCAAATGCTTTTCTGTTTCAGGATCCATCAGCAAGAAGAAAGAGAAGAAGAAGAAAAAAGGGTTGGCCTACGAAGAGCTGCGACTTCCTGCTGTCACAGTGCTGGCCTCAGGTGGGTTTTACCTGGGAGCTAATGGGGGCTAATAACGGCTAATGGTGGCTAGTGGCTGTTAACGGTGGCTAATGGCGGCTCGCTGTCGGGCTGCAGAAGCACAGAAAGTTTCCCAATTTTTCACTAGTTTCGATCTCTGAAAAACAAAATGTCGACGATGTGGATGAATTGAAACATGGCTTCTTTCCTCCTGATAACCCCGCCCCTGTCCCATCATCAACTCGGCCGTGACTCTTGGCTCCGCCCTGTTTTTTTCTAAATTTTAGAAGGGGGTTAGTTACAATAATTACATTTATCCTCCCTCTCTCTCGCTCGCCCCCCCTCTCCAGCCGTCGCTCGCCAGTCGGACTGGGACGGCGTCGTGGCGCTCCACCGCGGCCGCCTCGCCGCCTCCACCTGGAACTACCACAGGTGCACCATGGGAGCTCACCACCTGAAGCCTCCTGCTGTCAGGAAGAATGCTGTTGCCACGGTAACGGCGTGACATCAATACCTGCCACTGTGTGTTTAAGCCCCACCCCTGTTGGTTTACCGAATGACTTCCTGTCTTTCCAGGCTGTTGACATCACTTCCTGTGGGAACTTCGCTGTGATTGGCTCGTCCTGTGGACGTGTGGACATCTACAACCTGCAGTCTGGTCTGCACCGTGGTTGCTATGGTGACGAGGAGAAAGGTGAGCCTGGTCCGTCTGATTGGTCGGCCAAATGCCTGTCCCTTTAACCCCGCCCCCTGTCCTGCAGCGCACAGCGGCGTGGTGCGAGGCGTCGCCACGGATACGCTGAACCAGCTGACTGTCAGCTGCGGCTCTGATTGGCTGCTGAAGTTCTGGCGCTTTAAGACAAGAAAACAGGAAGTGGTTCTGAAGCTGAACGCCGCGCCGGCGAGCCTGAGGCTTCACAGAGACAGGTTAGACAGGAACTGAGCATGCTCAGTGCGCCCCTCTGCGCCCGCTCACTGACCCGTCCCCCTGCTTCTCCAGTGGGATGGTCGCCATGGCGATGGACGACTTCACTCTGGTGGTGGTGGACATGGAAACCAAACGGATCGTCAGGAAGTTCGCAGGTCACCATGGCAACATCACTGACATGGTGGGTAGCTGCTGATAACTGATTGGTTCTGGTTGGTTCTGGTTGGTTCTGACTCGCTGTCTTCGTTTGTCTTCCATCTTGGCTTCCTCCTAAGACCTTCAGCCCAGATGGCCGCTGGCTAGTTACCACGGCGATGGACTGCACCATCAGGACCTGGGACCTCCCCTCTGGCAGGTGAGCTGTGACATCATCGACTAGAAGCAGGAAGCCCCGCCCTCTCGTTAATTGATGGTCTTCCTCTCTCCTCAGTCTGGTAGACTGCTTCCTGGTTGCCATGGCGCCGGTTGGCGTTTCCATGTCGCCGACTGGAGACTTCCTGGCGACAGCACATGTGGACAGCCTGGGCGTTTACCTCTGGTATGGACCAATCACAGAGCAGCGTCTGGTTGGGTCTGGTTTCAGCCAATCACAGTCCAGCTCTTCTTCTCCAGGACCAATAGGAGCCTGTGTGGGCCGGTGGGGCTCCGCCCCCTCCCAGCTGACTACCAACCAGAGGAGGAGACGCTGCCCAGCGCCGCCGCCGCCCTGACTGAACAGGAAGTGACCTCAGAGGAGCCTGATGATGCGTTCCAGTCAGCTGAGCAACTGGGGGCGGAGCTTGTGACACTGTCGCTGATGCCCGAGTCTCGGTGGAAAAGTCTGCTGCACCTGGACGCCATCAAGGTGAGCTGGGTGGTGACGGCTGCAGGTGAGATCAGGTCACCCCTCCCTCACCTGTCGTTGCTGCTTACAGAGGAGGAACAGACCGCTTGCGCCCCCTGCTGCTCCACCCTCCGCCCCCTTCTTCCTGCCAACACGTCCTGGTCTGACGCCTCAGTTCGCGTTGCCCTCGACAACCAAGGAGGACTCACAGGTAAGCCAATCAGAGGCCAGCCCCTCCCCAGCCTGTTTCTGTTACGTGAGCCAGGGTGTCTAAATGTGCTTCCTGTCAGTCTAAGGTGCTGCCATGGGGTTTGCTGACGCAGAGGTCAGAGTTCGCAGTGGCTCTGGAGTTGGCTCTGGACACCGGATCATGTGAGTCTATCTTTTCCCTTCAAATTAAAAGCATCATTCTAACTAACTTCAATTTGAGTTTTATTTGAATTAAATTTGAGATTTTAGTAACTAAAACTAAAAATATATATTTTTTTCAGTTAGACTCAGTGCTTTTATTTTGATAATCTGTGGTGAACTTCCTGTATCCATGCTCCTAGTCGATGGGCCGCTGAGGCTCCTGAAGGATTGTGGGCCGGCAGGCGTTTCCGTGGAGCTCACCTGTCTGATGTCAGAAGGGGGCGGAGCCAACAGCCTCCTGCTTGCCTTCATCCAGATGGTGGACAGCATGCTGGCCAGTGGGCGGGACTTCGACCTGGCTCACGCTTACCTGGCTCTGTTCTTGAAGGTGAGCCAGTCGGAGCACAGCTTCAGACTTTTATTGTGAAGGAGCCCCAGCTTCCTGTTTACCGGCAGCTTGTTTTTGTTTTCAGCTCCATCTGCGCACGTTGTCACAGGACGCTGTTGCTATGGAGACGTTGCTCCGCCTTTCCTCCAGACTGGAGTCTGGGTGGGCGGAGCTTCAAGCATCGTTCAACCAATCACTGTGTCTGCTGTCGTACACAAAGAGCGCACTGTTGTGACACACACACACACACAGTTTGTACCTGAATAAAGTGTTTCCTGTTTCTGCTGTGGCTGGTCGTTGCTCTGTGATCGATTGATCTGGGCTGATGAATCTCATCTGCAGAGGTCAGAGCGCCGCGCTGATATAAATGATATCATGAAACAAAGACCATCATCATCATCGGTTTCATCTATTGATCTTCTGTAATCAGCAGCTTCCTGCCTGGTGGGAAGTGAAACAGAAACTGATTCCATTTTTGTCTGGTTTATGGTTAAATTTTATGATCAGTTTGTTTATTTCTTCTGGGTCAATGCACATCGCCTCAGTGATCAGAGCTGGTTTCCATCTGAGGGAAGCCTCAGTATGAATACATTACAGTTAACAGGACTCCTGTTTCCATCTAGAAAAACATCTGGTTTCAAATTTAAAATAATAAAAAGCGGTACAGCACAAGACGTTCAGCTTCCATGAGCAGCAGGAGTTTATTCATGTTTATTGGCTCCTGGTATTTAGTTTATCGATGGAGTTTTATCAGACCAGATAGAAATAAGTTAATCAGAGCCGTAAATATCTGAAAATATGTAAATGTTTCTAGAGTCTCCTGAACTGACGACAGGAAACTGATCATAAAGGCAATAATTAATTGTTCTGATTAAAATCTAACAGAATTATGCCAGCAGCTGGATTTCTAACATTTCTATCTGCTCTGAAAAGGTGTGACCTTTGACCTATGACCACCTGTCTCAGCTCAAGTCAGACGCCACCCGCCGGTTGCCCCTGGTAACAGGAAGTCCTGAGGTTATTGATCATCTGTTGGTAATTGATAGAAAAGTGAACAGTTTTCTGTAATCAGAATCAAATAACCGCCACGGATCTGAATATAAATATAATATTTTATCCATTTACTTTTTATTCGCCTCGTTGTTGAGTTTTCAGTTTTAATATCGTGATTCTGCTGCTTTTTTACCTCTAAAACATGCTGGATTATTACGGTGGCCGACAGGTGCAAACGCGCAGCAACAGAGAAAGATGCAAAAAAAGAGACACAAATTGAGGGAGCCCCCCAGGGGACATGGGGATTTTTTTTCTTTTGCGTTCCCTCGCAATAATCTGCTGATCAGTTCATGCGGCCTAGTTGATACTGTAAGCCTTTCTTACGGTGGCCGCCGCACGTTCTGCTTTAATACAAGCTTATAAGGTTTTTCCATGGACTATTTCTGAGTTACTATCGCGGGGTAATCAGTCATCTGACAGTTCTGATTGTGCCTCTGCTGTGTTCGTCTGAATGGTTTAAAGGGCTGCTTTAAACCATTCATGTTCAGTCCATGCGACAATTATGTCGCACGAACTTAAAAAAGATCCCCATGTCTCTGGATGGCTCCATAAAATGCAGCAAACAAAATAAAAGATGCAAATAAAAAAGTGCTGCAAACGGAAGTGGTCCAGACCAGCAGAGGGAGTCGAACAAAAAACAGCTGTGTCCAAATTTAGGGTTTGCATCCTTTAAAACCATAGACATAATATATTATGTCTATGTTTAAAACGGGTGTTCAGAAAAGCAGCAACGGCTGTAGGCTCTTGTTAGAAAATAACAGAAACTTTTTAAGATAATCTCAGTTTGCTTTCAGAGCGGGGGCTGAAAACCAAGGACTATAGCGCTATAGCAGCTAGCATTAGGTGGTATCTCACCGCTGGACATACATACAGTAAAGTAATATTCTAATCACAAAATATACACAATATGTCCATCTTACTTGCAAAATGTTGTCTGTGGAGCCCTCACATCAACAGTCCGTCAATCCAATCAACAATATCCCGCAGTGCTGAGGCATCTTCTGCTGCTTTGGTTGAGCAAAGCAGGAGGATCGTCCCTTTTTTTTTGTTTGCTGCATTTTATTTGCTTTTTGTTTGCGTCTCTTTTTTGTTTGCATCTTTTCTCTGTTGCTGCGCGTTTGCACCTGTCGGCCACCGTACATTATATCATTTATCGACACAAAGAAAAAGTTTCTGCCCAGGTAGTGACGTCAGCGCTGCGCTGAGTCAGCGCAGTCAAACCGGAAACAAAACAAAGCGCAGGGCGCAGCCGCAATAGCAGGCTGGGCTCGTGACGTCCTGTGGGTAAAACTTTTGTTTAAATTTGTAAAAACTTTAATTTCCCTGTTTCCTGTCTTCATGATCAGCTAACGCTATCCTGACGTCATCGCACAGGTGAAGGAGCGCGAGGGCTGCTGCCGACTGGATCAAACCGGAAGTGAGGAAGAGGAGTTTGGAGCTGCAGGTAAAGTTTTTGCCAAAGTTTGTAAACCAAATTCCATCCCATAATTAAGGAGGAACTGGCGGGTTGAATGCGCTGCAGCTTTATTACTAATTTTATTATGAGCGGAAACACCTGGTACCTGCGGTACCACACCTTAGACCCAGCAGAACCAGAACCGGCTTTCAGCTCCAGAAATCCAGATGTTTACAGCCGCAGTCCAGATCCGTCAGAGCAGAAGCTGCAGATCTAGAAAACTAGAAGCAGAGCTGCTTACGACCCATTGAGCCGCGGTGACGTCACAACCGGGTGTGACGTCATAGCGCCCGGCTGTAATCGTGTGGAACCCGCACGATGACGTCACAGACAGAAAACCAGATCAGATCCTTTGGAACACAAGCCTGGAGAGTTCTGCATGGTTCTGGTCCTAAC